AACACTTTTGCTACCACTCTCACCCAAGCCAAGCTTTCTTGATTTAGACCCTTAAGTTGGGGGGCGGGGGGGCTCATTTTCTTTCCACATATTAAAAATAATACAAAGAAAAAGTAATGCAACAAGAAAATGTAATTACAAAAAGTCTTCTTTTAAAATTTACAAGACGTTCATTTCAACAAATTTACATACCGATAATTAAGTAGAAAAGTCGAGTACTTGATGTAAACTTTCAGAACAAAAGCATCCAAACGCAAAGTACAAGAATGGACTGAATTGAAAAACAAAAGGACAATAAAATTACAAGCAAAGAACACTCTAAAATAATGATGAACAAATGGAACTCAAATAAGTTGAGTGAAAATTCTTATAAAGATTAAAGAAAAGTCAAAGAATCTTTTAAAAGGCCAATCCCTGATAATAGAAAAAGTTCTGATAACAAAAAATAAAAATTAGGGTGTTAGAAATTCGTAGGAGTTTCTGATCCGTTTTGGTTTTTGAGTATTTCGGGCAGGGCGCTTGTTTGAGCCTCTTGAGTCAGCGGCAAGAGTTGCTACATTTGGAGCAGGAGCACCTGGAGGAAGCAGTGACATTGTTAGTTTCATTTCAAAATACAGTAACAGTCAGAACAATACACTTTTAAAAATTCAAGTGAGCGAAACAGAAGTACATACAAACTACAACTCAGAAAAGTTTGTTAGAAGTTTTTCACGACTGAAGTAAAGAAAGAATGTAAGATAAAGAAAATAAGGCTGTGAATTCAACATTAGAATTTACGAAACAAAGGAAGTTATAGCCTCCACATTTTAGTAATGAAGGTTTGCTGACCACTCTCTCTCAGCAAGCACAGCACAAATGTAACTGCACTTAAAAATGCTCTCTAAATATTCAGTATGCAACAAATGAACGTTTTTTTGAAAGAATTTTTTTGAAAGAATCAGTGCTACTTGGCTCCGTGACAGAAATAAGGAAGAACTCAAACCAAATAATAAATCAGCAACTCGGTGCCTCACTCACAGAACGGCAACCATGCTGTTTCAAAAGAACAGAAAAGCAAGGAGGGCAAACACTTAGGCTATAACTTGACAGTTAGACTCACCAAATATTTTCAAGTTCATTCTGAAGGTGTCCTGAAAAGGACAGTGTAGTCCTGATAAGGACTGTGTAGTCCTGATAAGGACTGTGTAGTCCTGATAAGGACTGTTGGATCCTTCATAAACCTTGAGCAGAAAAGACAAAACGGTTTTTCCCCAACTCCCCACCCCACCCTCAGATTATTGGGAAGAATTTGAAATCTCCACATTTCTATATTAGTGTTGCTCATAAAACATTAACAACAACACACATAAATGTGTAGTGTTTTTAATGCTGATAACAGGGCACCACATTTGCATGAAAGTGAGACAATCAAGCTAAAATCAAACTTTGAAGCACAATAATACTAAACTTAGAACAAAATGCTTATGCAAAGCATATCTTGATTTTGCAGGGCTCGAAAGTTAAAAGATCATCACAATCATGAAAATGTGGAGGAAAATACACACCTTATAAACACAAAGTAAATATTACCTCGTTTCCGTTGAGTTCCGTTGAGACTGGGCATGCTTCATGACTGGTGTTGCCACAACTACTGCCCATGGACTATCAGCAAGAACCTTTTCTGTTGTTCCTGTTGAAAAGGTGATGAATCTTTTTATGATTTTTTAAAGTAATTGTGCTATAAAACTTAAGTGATTTTATATTTTACCTTTTTCTTTATACATTGCAATTTTTTGTTGCAATGTTTCCAGGGGGCTATTGATTGGTCCATAATTGAGCAAGAGAAAAACTCTGTTCCACCAGTAGACCGATGTAGATTGTGGCATGTAATGTGAATCTGCCAAGAGTCGCAGTCCATTTGGTTGTCCCAAAAACTTAGACTCATGAAGACTAAGGGCTGCTGCTGGGGATGTTCCTTCCTGAAAGTACGTTTCAAACTGACCTCCCAGTTTTTTTCTTCAGGTCTAAAGAACTGGGTAATAGATGACACATTTTTATGATGATTATGGATATCAGTCACAGTGACAACACCACAAAAAGGAGTCTGTCCTTTCAGATAGGGGTCCTTTTTCTTTGTGTCTTTAGTTAGCTTCTTTATCTTGATGTCTTATTTGGCGGTACAGTTGTAGTTACGATAACTTTCCCCCTCAAGCCGTATTTTGATTTTCTTGCTAAACGCACACAAGTACTGTTTGTGAAATGCTACCCTATTAAGATGTAGAAAAAAATTATTCAAAAAGAGTTTTGCAAATTGAACTCAATTACCTACTTTAATGATAATTGCAGTGCTTTGCAAATACCTGTCTGCTCTTTGAAAAGTTTGCTTCACAACCCATTCTGTGAAGGTTCTCTTACTGTAGTCTCGTAGCCACAAATCAATGTCTTCTTTTTTTTTCCCTGGCCACTCTATACACAGCTTCATTCTCTTTATCTTTTTTGTCTACTCGTTTAGTTGCGTATCCTCCAATTTCCTCTGAAATATCCATTTTCTCTTCAATTTATTTGTACACTTGTTACGTTACAAAGGCCCTTGAATGCATTTACCCTCCAAAATTCTAGACTTCCACTGTCTTTCACTAACGCCAATATAATCTCTCTAAAAAAATTGTTATCATGCATCTTTAATCAGTAATATATGGTAATTATTATTTACCTGAGGAATGTAGTTTATTATTATAGTCTGCGTTTTTTAGCCCGCCCTTCTGCTTT